ACCCTCCTCCCTGCGTTGCACGCAGGCAGGACGCTCGCCCTACCTGGGCTCCGGGCTGTCCTCCAGCCGGCTACTCTGATGAGACCCGGAATCCTCACCCACTCCCATCCCACCCACCCCCGCCCTCGCCATTTCTCCTGCACCCCCGTGCGGATGCCGCTGCCCGAGCCCGGGCTGACCCATCCATCACGCCCGCCTGCGTGCACCGCGGGTCCGTACTCCTTGGGCAAAGCCGGACTACAGAAGGCAGAGGCTGCTGGCTCCATCTCCGAGCCAGCCGCTCTTCTTCCCGGCCTCGGGGCCGCCCGGCCCAGCCTGTGCCCGCTCCTCCTCGGGGGCCAGGTCCTCTCAGCGGCGGGCCTGGGCGGCGGCGCGGCGGGAAGCTGAGTGTGTGTGCGCGGCTCGGCCTATATTTACACCCCAAACAAAATAATTACACTTTTGTCGGAGGGAGAAAGCCAGTGATTAGGAGCGGGCTCTTTGCGGCAAAACAGTTTCTCAGTGGTACACCAGTATAATTTTTCACGGCTGGCTGAAATCAAAGAGGGGAGGTAATGAATCCGGCGAGCAATTTAAATTTACAATTTGTAACGCCGCCGCCGCGCAGACCCGGCCGAGAGCGCAGCTCGGAGGCGCTCGCTGCGTTTGTTTAATGTTAAAGCCGCGCCGGCTCTGGCGGGCGGGGGTGGGATGGGGGGGCCAGTAATGGTTGAGGTTGGGAGAAGGCCGGCTGCGGTGCTCAAGATATTAAGGGGACACGAGGGCGAGGGGTGCGCTCCCAGGCGGCCTCCAGCGCTCGCCTTCTCCAAAAAAGCCTGCCACCGCTGGCCCTGCGCAGGGCGGGAGCGCGTGGAAAGGGCGCGGAGGGCCGCAGGCGGCCTGAGAAGCACCTTTTCTTTTTTTTGGCCGCTGAACCCTCCAGGCAGATTTCCCGGGACAAGGAGGGAGATGCAAGTGAAATCCTCCTTGGCCTGCTGAAAGGGCACCTGCTAAGGCCCGCGAGAGCCCTCTGCCCTGCTGGGGCCCGTGTGCCCGGCTGGAGAAGTCGCCCAAAGCACCCTCACACCCCAGCTAGCCTGCCTTCAAACTCCCACTCCGGGTGGGTGTGCACCTCCTCCACTGTAATTAATTACCGAACTCGAGGGGGAATATGCAAACCACATATTACTAACTCTACAGGGCTTAAGTGATCGGAAACAGATTATTATCTTGTTTGTCTTTTGTCTGTTTTACTTATCCCGCAGCCGTCTGTCGAGTTGTAATGCTGATACTCTGTACTCTAGGA